CCACAAGGTATAGATAGGGGCTCTGGGGCAAGGGATGCTCTGTCATCCTGGTGCTTGGGGGGGGGTCAACAGTGGGAGGGCTTCTAATGTCCTGGCCCCACTGGTGGACCTCCTGATGGCACTGGTATTTCTGGCCACTGTGGGATACAGAGTGTTGGACTGGATGGGCCTTTGGCCTGATCCAACATTGGCATCTCTTATGTTCTTATGTTCAGTCCTTATTTCTGTGATCAGTTCTGACAGCTTCCTGGGTAGAAAGTCTAACTCTATGAAGGTAGAGCCATGTCAGTCTGCAGAAGTCTTGCGTTCCCTTAAAGGTTAACAAATCAACTGTGGTGTGGCATGCAAACCACATCCCACTTCGTCAGGTGCAGGTATCACTGTGTTGGGACCATTGTTCCCTCTAAGCTGAGTTAGTGCGAGCCAGCTCACAGTTTTTTAGCTTCCGGCTCACACATTTTTTTGTTTTGGCTCAGGGAGGAGGGCTCCAGAGCAAACTGATTTATGCAGTAGCCCAATCGCTCGCTCACAACTTTAATGTCAGGAGCTCACAAAGTAGAATTTTTGCTCACAAGACTCCACAGCTTAGAGGGAGCACTGGTTAGGACTCAAGCCCACAGTGGACCCTGGGGCTATGAAATGACAGGAGACTCTGCTCCAGTCCTGAGCACTGGCTGGAAAGAAAGAGAACTATAGCATGATTGGCCAAACTTGGCTTAGTTAGCAAGGCTACTGTCTCAATTTTAAAACTGTAAGGAACGAAACGAGATCGAAAACCTACTTGAGCAGATTCCCAAGATTGAAGAGAGCTCGGTTGTGTTGTGGATTTAAGTGGAGGGCCCTTCTGTAATACTCTTTTGCTTCCACCAGGTCTTTGGTCAACGTTCCTAGGTTGTTCAGAGCACTTGCATGGCGAGGGTACAACCTATCAGAAGAACACACACAAAAAAAAAAAAGGAAAAAAAGGAAATTCATTGTCCTGCTGTGAACAAGTACCCAAACCATTGCAACACACCCTCCCGTGAACCCTACAGCTATTGCAGTTTTCTGTATGAATAAATAAGGTAAAGGTAAAGGTTTCCCTTGCTCGAAAGCCAGTTGAATCCAACTCTAGAGGGTGGTGCTCATCTCCATTTCCAAGCCAAAGAGCCAGCGCTGTCCGAAGACGTTTCCGTGGTCATGTGGCCAGCATGACTGAACACCAAGGCGCACAAAATGCTGTTACCTTCCCACCGAAGCAGTACCTATTTGTCTACTTGCAATTTCTTGCTTTCAAACTGCTAGGTTGGCAAAATGAATAAATACACATAAGTAAATGCGGCTGGGGCATCAAGAGCTGGTAATGGATGCTGAAGCAGGCTGAAAGCGCTTCCCAAGACAGGACGGCCATTTGTTCCCCAAGTGAGATCGGGCTGCTGTAGGAAGGAACAAGTACTGTGCCAGAGGAGCAGCTTTGGTCTTCACAACGCTGAACTCACACCGGGGTGGGGGGGATGTATCCTGCTGTTTCAGGAGACAGAAAACCATGTTGGACAGAACATGGCTGTCCTCTAAGAGCAAATTTCAGAAGGAAGCCATGCTGGTCTGCAGTGGAAAAGCTAGATTTGAAGGGAGCTCCGAGTCTTGAAAGCTTATAATTTGGAAAATCTGCTGGTCTCTAAGGTACTATCGGACTCGAATATACCTTCATTAAGAACAAAGCCACCTTGGGCCAAAAACAGGAGAGATGCTGGAAGCAGTGTTCCCTCTAAGATGAGTTAGTGTGAGCTGGCTCACAGTTTTTTAGCCTCTGGCTCACACATTTTTGTCTCAGCTCAGGAAGGAGGGCTCCAGAGCAAACTAATTTATGCAGTAGCCAAATCACTCGCTCACAACTTTAATGTCAGTAGCTCACAAAGTAGGATTTTTGCTCACGAGACTCCACAGCTTAGAGGGAGCATTGGCTGGAAGGCCCTCGATTATATCATCCTAGCACCTTTGAAAACTAAATTTTAGGTGCACGGGCCTGGACTGGGCACACACGTGGGAGAGAAGAAGGGGGTCAATCCTTTCACTTCTGCATGGTTTTGTTCCCCTGCCTTGGACCCACCCTTTCCCCTTCCAGAGCTAATAGGAGGGGGGAAGTTTCAACCATCAAAATTAAAATCCCCTCTTTGCGGAGGCACCTTTTCAAGATTTAGCTATGAGATCCATAATCTCTCTCTCTCATCTAGTCGAAACCTTTCATTGGCACCAACACTCAAAAGAGAGAAGTGAAAATATGCTTAGCTTGCAGGGGGTAAATGCCCGAAGCCACCAGGGATTTGTCTCCTAAACTCTGCCTCTGACTGAGAGCTTCGAAACAGACAGAATGGCTGCTTCATTCCTATTCCTGTCTTACTTTTCCAGGGGAGGGGATCCTACTTGAAGTGATCTTACACTGAAATTAGGGTTCAGGATTCTATAAACAGCAGCAGTACTTGAAAAGAGAGAGCCTTTCTGCATTTAATCCCATGGGCTTTTTATTATGAAATACAGCTTTCCAGTTTGGATTCCATCTTACAAAGTACATACGTAAGCACACACACACACACACAAAATGGGCTATATGTATCACGGGTAATGGCAACCATCTGCAAGCAATATCTCTTGTGCTATGTATCTCATTAGGCGCAAAGTCCTCTTCACTTCACCTAATCAAACGCCAAGTGCTGCATTATTTATGAAAGAAAGCTGCATTTCATTAAAATGCTCACTGGGGTAGCCAGTTAAAAAATCAGTTTTGGAATCCTCGGCCTTTAAAAAAAAAAAAAACACCCTCCTTTTCTTAATAAGTATAGCAAAGGACCTGAAATAGCACAATTCATTATTCCCTGCAGGGGAAAAAAATTGGAAATGCACTTTAAATGAGGTTTGGCTTTGATTTCTGTACAAAAGACAAGCAGGATGTTTTCTTGGGGCAAAATGAATTATTCAGAAGATTCCTTCAACGTTGCCACTGCAGTTGTCAGAATAAATTGCAGCAGCCTGGCCTTGAACTATTAAAGGTAAGCACTGCACACAAACTTCTGCTGCCAATTACTGCCCCTCACCATCTACCATGAGGCTATCCATATCCCCACTAAGTGTACAATAAAACGGAAGAGTCTTTGACTGCCAAAAGACTGGCAGCCTCAACTCACAGGATGCCAAAGAGAAGAGGCAAACGACTCTTCGATTTCTAAGTAATGGAGACCATTCCACTGCTATCTAAAGAACTTATGTATTTGCAAGACATATTCTTGGGTGGGACTGTTTGCTAGGTGTACTGTGTTGGAGGCAAGAATTCCAAAATCAATGGGGGGGGGGGGGGGGGGGAGGGAATGTGGAATGAACATTGTCCTGGATACAATCTATAAACCAGCAAAACCTTTAGTTTGTTGTTAATTCAAGTGCTGGGGAATTAGTTAGAATGATAACAAGGTTGCCATCACCTCCAGAGCATTGGAATAGCCTGACAGAAGGAGCTCTACGTTTAGGCAGACCACATGGCAGAGCAGGGCACTGACCCAGACTGAAAGGGATTGTTTGTGAGAGCACCAGCAGTCCCGGAGCCACTCATGTAAGAACTCAGGCACTGAAGAGGATTTTTAGAGAATGCCAAGAGCACAGAGAAGACCAAGAGGAACATGAAGCTACGGTATTAAGGACAGGAAGGGATAAGCAAGTTGAGGAGTTTGAAGGAGGAAGTTAGGGGGCGCTATTCCCATCTCTCCCCCCCCTCCCCAAAGTGTGATCACTGGTGCTGATTTCATAAACATACACATTTCAACATCTGTAGCTGACTTTATGTCATGATAAAAGGAACTGCGTTTCCAGGAACTGCGTCCCTATGGGAAGGGTTCTAAGGGAACAACGCTCCTCCTCTCTCGGCCTACACTTGGCAGTTCAATGAAGCCTCTTCATTACAAGCACAACTGCTTGTCAATGCCGTTTCATTATCGTAACAGACTTGATATCTATGGGCCCATCTAACTCAGCACTGTTTAATCCAGGATCTCAAGCATTAAAGGCTTTTTCCAGCCCCTGAATGCTTCCTGTTTTGTTTTGTTTTAATTGGAGCCTAGCCTAACAAGTCTTCTGCATGTCAAGCTGGTTCTCCATGACTGATCTTTGACTCCTTCTACACGTCACTCTCCTTCCCCGTTTCCTCCATTACTTCAGTACTAGGCAGCTGGCACTATTTCCCTATGTTTGGAACCCAGTTTACACAAAGCTGCAAGACCACTGCGCATTCCAAAATGTCACAGAAGCAAAATGTTAAAGCCTCTCTTCTCTGCAACAGTTAGACAGGACTGGAGGGAGAGGAGAAAGGAGAACACTGTCTATTAGACGGAACACAGCAGCAGAGGGCCCTTGAGATGAGGGAGCAAAACTGAGTTGTAAACTTTTTAAGGGTTTTTTCCCATATGAAACTCTCTGGCCTAGTGTGGCTAAGAAGCAAGCGTGAGGATATGACTGCTGATCCTCTTCAGGCACTGGTACGAAGCAGAGTGCAAATCCCTCAGGTTCAGCACCCACGTTGTAGGTGACTAGTCACATTTCCCCTCAGTTAATTCCCCACCATCTACCCAAAGACAGGTTTCACAGTAGCTTGTTCCCTAAAGACTCAGGCCACCACTATCCTGAATTCTGTGCTATCAGACCTACACATACTGGCTGCCAAGCCAACTCACCAGGCTTGAGCTCAGGCTTGGCTATTTCCCCAGCTTCAAGAACAGGTGCTGAATATTTTTGCAAATCTCTTAATTTCTGCTTGCTATTAAGAAGCCGTAAAAAGCTTCCAGATCAGGCATCCTCATTGGTCTGAGCAGCAAGGGGATCCAGGTAAAGGCCCAGCAGAGAGATATACCGTTTTTAATATTTCTCCTAGGGTGTTCAAATGGCCACAGTTGTCAACAGAATTATTTCAGTTTGGCGGCCAAAAGAAACCCCCTCTCTGGATGGATATTAAATCACAGGCCATGATGAAAAAGAAAAACATGCTGCAGCTTTATATATTTTACGTTGATGAAATTCTAGAACCCTCACTGGGGGGGGGAGCAGACTGAAGCATTAGCACTGAGGAGATATGAAAGGAATTTCACATCAGTGGGAACTAAAAATAAAAGACAATCTCCCTCAGTTGAGTATTTTCCACAAAGCCAAAGCATCAGACATATGCTGTACATTGAGAACAATCTTCTTTCACGTCCCCATGTCCTTCCTGTGTTTGACAGAGACACAAAGATATTTTGCTGTTGTGCCAAATATCTCAGGAGGTATTCTGCTAACTTGTTTTCTGACTCTTTTTGTAAAAACAACCCATAAGCAGGAAAGTTCAGTAATGAGAAACCTATTCACCTGGTGTCAACATGATTGCCAACTCCGGGGGTGGGACAGACCTCTGCAGGGTATAATACCATAGAGTTCACCCTCCAAAGCAGCCATTTTCTCCGGAGAACTGATCTCTGTAGTCTGGAGTTCAAAAATCTGAAGAGAGATGCTTCCAGAGGCCGATTACCTGTCACCTCTCGAATTCCTCCCATGATCCAGTTCATAGTTCATCCTCTCCCGCCCCCAACACAAATAATAAAGCTTTGTTTAAAAGAGATTTGAAGAAGTACATCTATCTATGGTATAACATCCACTGTATTTTATCCTGAGGGTCACGGCAAGTGATGGCAGCCCACATTGTTAAGGCAGTATTGATACCTAACTTCAACAACTGGCACTTGTACATGCAAGGCGGTACATGCAGCTGCTATAGTATCTGTGATTATAGCATTTTTTCAAATGGTCATGATCATGTTATTTGTAGCCACCATATGCATATCCCCCTACACAGAAATACTGGAGCACTCATACAGGGCCTCCTGTGTGAGCGACGTCCAGTTGCGAACTGGGGGAGCAAGCTTGTGTACCCTC